GGAAGGGACCTTGGAGGCCTTCTAGTCCAGCCCCCTGCTCAAGCAGGAGAACCTATACCATCTCAGGCAAGTGACTGTCCAGTCTCTTCTTAAAAACCTCCAGTGATGGAGCACCCACGATTTCTGAAGGCAAGCTGTTCCACTGGTTAATTGTCCTCACTGTTAGGAAGTTTCTCCTTAATTCCAGGTTGCTTCTCTCTTTGATCAGTTTCCAACCATTGTTTCTTGTCCTGCCCTCTGGTGCTTTGGAGAATAATTTGACCCCCCCTCAGATACTGGAATGCTGCTATCATGTCACCCCATTTCTTCTTTTCTTTAGACTAGTCAAACCCAAGTCCTGCAGCCGTTCTTCATATGTTTTAGTCTCCAGGCTTTTGATCATCTTAGTTGCTCTTCTCTGTACTTTTTCCAAAGTCTCAACATCTTTTTTGTAGTTTGGTGACCAAAATTGGTTGCAGTATTCCAGGTGTGGTCTCACTAGGGTTTTATAAAGCGTAATAATACTTCGCGTGATCCTGATTTGTGTCAACATTTTGTCTAAAAAAGTGTCCCTGAAACTTTGCATTCTGAAACTGTCCCCAAGTCATCTGTTGATTTCCTTCTAGGCCTTTTCTTCATTAACATGCCACGTTTAATAAAGGGATAAGCAATTTAGAATAAATACATTTTAAAATCTATTTAAGAGAGTTGCTATTTACCTGTTCCCAGATGTACACCTAATTAATATATAGGTTTATGCATATAGCTATTCATCATATGGGTCTACTTGCATGAGCACAGTAATGGACAAGGAGAGACGTGTCACACAACGTGTCCAAACAACAAAGCGGGGGCCAGACTGGAACATTGATTAGAGTCTTTGATTGGAATTAGAATGACCATATGGTTCAATAGGTTGTTCAATAACCTTAGCTCCATAGAGCTTCCATGACAATTGACTGCCTATTATCTCTTAGGCCAACCTTCTTATTAGGTTACTTAAAGATTACTCCATAGATACAAAATCAATAAATCTGGAATGGCTGGCATGGCTACAGCATCTTGTAAGGGTCCACATGTGATGCCTGTCCTGGCTCTTCTTGAACAACTGCATTTAACCATCCTTTCAATGTCTCTTAATGCAACTACGTTCAGGTCAATTTATAGCACTAGGAGAAATAAAAAGGTTGGGAAAGATCCAGCATGATTAGATTGGTGGTATTACATCAAGGTAAATCCAGCAGAGTCTATTTTCAGACCAAAAAATGCCATCCAAAATTACTTGTCTTTGAGCCCATTCAAAGCTAGAATAAGATTGAACATAATAATGTGCATAGAGTAATTTTTCAGCTATAACACAACCTTCTGATCATGTTAGGTGGAAGTTGTAATCTATAAATCTAGATTAAAATACTAGATGGCCTACCCTTGCAATATTATAGGAGACTGGTCAAACAGTTGTGCAAATTTTATTAAGGATATTATTAGGCCTATTTTATGAATATTGTTCTACAGCTATCAATAGTAGCATGCTGGACCAATCTAATTTAATTTTGAATGTTATGTCGCTCATGATATCGCTCATGATATCTTCAGCTCCATCCAACCATGACTTATTTATTTATTTATTTTATTTATTTTATTAAATTTATATCCCGCCCTTCTCCTTGCGGACTCAGGGCGGCTAACAATCGGGTAAAAATACACAAATAACATTACAAATTTAAAAATTAGTTAAAAAGGAAATATTTAAATTTAATCTAATTAAAATATAATTAAAACCCCCTCTAAAAGTTTCCCCTAGGCCAGTCC